AGTCACCCAACAATAATGCAAGTAAGTAAAGGTCGTAAAAATCGTCCCAGCGAGTCAAGCAAAGACAGCTGTCAACGACACAGCTTAGGGCTATTACCCCAAGCCGAAATCTTAGGGTTTAGGGTTTGGGGTTCGCAAAGTTTAGGGTTTAGGGTTTGGGGTTTGGGGTCCGGTCCACAACACAACCCTCAGACCCTTAAAAACCCTTTCGCCCTTCACCTTCCCTTACAAACCCCTACAAGCATCCCCAAGTCCGAAGGGAGCGCGCCATCGCCAAGAAGTCCCATCATGGCGTGCAGGAGTTCGGCTTCATTGGCTGCCCGGCGCGTGGTGGCCTCGGCTAGATTTGGGGCTCAGGGCATGTATGTATGCATGCATGTAGACGAAAACACGGCATGTGCATATACACATGCACAAATACCAACATATGTCACATACTGTTGTGCGTGTATGTGTATGTATATATATATATATCCAGCTATGCCAAATAAGCTAAGATGTCGGCTGAGACTGGCATAGCACAGTCATTGGTTGTAGCATGCATCCTTTGTTAAAGTAGACACATCCCAACGACACGACTGAGTCCAACTTTGATGTGGGGCTCCAGCACGGAAAATACACGTAGGCGATGCCAGGCCAAGTGTCGACTCTTGATTGCCCATCTCGGGTTATCGGACTTAGCCAGATGAGGTTCGCGACTGGTTTTGCTCACGGCAGTTTCGGAGTTATAGGGTCTATGTAGCACCAAACCCACCAACCACAAGCCCTATCGAAAGTCCAGTCATCATAAAAAACACCCTAATAAAAAAAACCGTCAAGAGATACCAAAAACCCTAATAAGAACCCTCAAGAAATACGCAAAACCCTAATAAGAACACTCAAGAAATACCCGTCGGTGCGAGTCTGTAGCAGACCGTACCAAACCCGTCTCGCCATCTCAGGAGGCCGCCACGGCACGCTGGATCCAGAGCAGCTTCTTCCTGCCTGCGCTATCCCAATCCGGAGGGTCCGAGTACCCAAATAGCAAGGTTTTAAGCCCCAAAATCCATACTCTGAATGGTTTTGGACCTTGAAACCCTGCAATTTTGCGTACTTGAACCCTTAGGGAATGGCAAGCGGGAGCTAAATTGTTTTGGGGCTTTGGGGGTTTACGCTCTCACAACTCGAGCCGCAGTTCCATAGGTGCGGTGAGGGTCGGGGTGACACAGGATTGCATGTTCCGCAGGGTTTCGACTCACACACTCGCTCAAAGCAGCAGAGTTTAGGGTTTGGGCGGGTTCGAGTCAAATAGTCTATGCAACCGAGAACGGATCATCATTTACCGCAGCCATGCCGCCTGCCGTGGCAGGAGGCGGGTTTGAGCCGAAGACGCGCCAAGTCGCCAAATCACGCCTGATCTGGGGTCTCTGCTTGGTCCAATTCGTGGGGTTTTTGAAGTTCAGGGTCTTCCGTGCATAAGCTGCTGGCTATGGCTGAGGGTTCGGGGGCTTTAGAGCTCGGTGTGGGGCCTGGTCTTGGCCCAAAGCGTCAGCCGTTTGTCTGGTGTCAGACAAAGCTTCAACTTCACCAATTTGGTCGTGGTGCTGGTCACGGCCGTGCTGGTGCTAAAGATGCGTGCCGAGAAACCCTAAACTCTTTTGCAGCAGGCTTCTCTCGCCCGGTTCCCCCCTTAAGGCAAGAGCGCACAGGAAAAGCTGTGGATGACAGCGGACTGAAGCTTGGCTAAAGATCCCCTGAAGGTAAAGAGCGCCCGGAGCCCTAAACCCTAAACCCTTTTTGAACCCAGTCTCTGCTGATCAGCTGGGAAAAACCTTAAACCCTAAACCCTAAGCCAACGAGACCCGGAAGCCCGCTCAGGCAAGCTTAGCGCCGCACAGCCGTTGCAGCGCCCAGCGAGGGGGAAGCAGGAACACATCCTCCCTCCGAGGGGAACCCGGCGCATCCTGGTCAAATCCGATCTTGCACCGCAGGCAAAGCTTATAGTTCCAGTAGAATAAGGACCTTAATTATCATAATAGGGTTTTGGGGTACATTATACTATAATGATATTACAGCAAGGGCCCACAAAATAGTATGGGTAATTCTTGAAGCCCCTTACAGCAACTTCAGTTCACGGTGCCGGCCGCCTCCCAGTCGACCATGTGCAGCCTCGGGGAAAGCAAAGGGGTCACGTGAATCCATGCAGGGCATAGCCCCCTTCATTGGGCTTTTAAAGTGAGCTCCCCACTGGTGGACGAGGAAGCGGGGCTCTGCCACGCGCGCCGGGCCCATGAAATGAGGGCGCACCTGGGTCAGCTATGTACGGGCCTTCATAGCTCGAAAATTAAGGGTTCCAGTTAAGGATTCCCTTGACGGTTCTATAAGGGTATAACTTTTAAGGATTTCTAAGCGGATTCACTCTAGGGAATCTGCAACGGATCTATAAGGGCTCTAGAATATGGAGTCTTTCTGAGAAGACGAGGGTTCTTACAAGGATTCTGGCAAGGGTCCCTCTTCGGGCTCTACGAAGGGTATGACCCAGGGCATAAGGCCTCTTTAAAGGGCCTCAAATCAAGAGCTTCTTTTAAAGGTTCTAGCAGGGGCATTCGAAACATCACTATTATAATGCACCCGGGTTAACGGGAACAGCATTCATGCTAGTGCTTCGGCTATTCAGGATTTCAGGCTTTTCGGGCTCTAGGTTTCGGAAGGTGTGCAGCTTTCAAGTCCATCGGGCTCAGGGTATTTAGGGCAAGATCTCAGATTTTGTGCTAATGAGGGTTTTCGATGTTTAACGGCACAGAGTCGAGAAGCGACACGCTTTGAGCCCTTGGCATCGTAGGGTATCACTTCGAAGCCTGGCAGCAGGTGCCGGCGTAGCATGCAAGAGGAGTGTGGGCCCTGTGCCCACAGACTCCAATATCCCTTAATTAAGGAATATACCTTAAATTATAGTAGGATCCCTAATATGATTTAAGGTATATTCCTTGATTTAAGGGATATTGGAGTCTCTAGGTGAGAGCCCCACAGCCTCCAAGAAGCGCAAGCCAGTCGTACATGAAGGGCTTCAGCTGCCCGCGGTCTGCAGGAACCTCGGGGGCCAGGACAAGATCTGCTTTTTTGGTCTAAAGTCGCTGATGCAAGGAAAAAATAAGCTCAAGGCAAGCAAGGGTATGCGCTGCTGCCTCACCTGGTGCCAAGGCATCTGATGCTTTGCCGGCGCATTTCTGCTCATTAGGGCCCTTGCAGTCAGCCACACGGCCAGACGCGCCAACTCATCCACCAGGAAGCTGAAGAAGTTCGCAGGGAACATGACCAGCAGCCACAACCTCGCATCCCAGGAAAGTCTCGTGTTGAGGCTTCGTCAGACAAGCAAGCAGCCATGCCTTGCACCTGCTGCCTACTTAAGTACAGCTCTGCCCAGAAACGAAGAATGAAGAACATGCCAGGCCAACCTTGAGCTCACGAGACCACAGAACCCTGGATCCTAAACCCGATACCTGTAAGCGTCGTTGCTGCGACGAAAGAATCCGCAACCGCCTGAGCACCATGCCCTCGAAGTTAAAACCTTAAACCCTAGACACCCCTACACCTTATATGTACCCTAAATTTTTAAACCCCACGACTCCAATACAGAGGCCTGGGTAATTAGAGTTGCTCTCTTTTTTTTGAGAGGGGGGAGGGTGTATTATACTATTGTACTATGCTGATAATTTAGGAACCCGAAGAAAAAACATTGCCATAGTACTTACTCGGACTCCTATACAGGGGTAGCCAGAGCCGCATCAGCCAAGTGAGACTCGGACGCGACTGGTAGCCATCTAACCGGCTCGGCTGGTACAGCCGGGGCCGGTAGGTTCCTGGCAAAGACATGCAAAACTCTAAGACCCAAGCCGCAAGTGTTTAGGCTTACCCATAGGCTCCATTGTAGTTCCTTTTTGGGATGACCTTACAGGATTCTAAAAAAAACAACAAGGAACTGCAATGGAGCCCACGGGTAATCTCAACACAGAGGCTTCACCAAGAGACCTCGAGGTTCGTGTTTTTTTGCAGGGATCTGTGCTGAGGTTGGGTTGTCCTCACCCCGAAGCTAAGCTTCATGGTCTTTGAACACCAGGTCACTAGGCCAGCCTCAAGCCCAGGCACCCCAAAACGGATAGCCAGAGGAAGCTTGGTTCTTCGGCTCGATTCAGCTATGTGGGGCCTTCGGCAGTGCGAAGCTCACGAAGTCATACCGATAACCCCCCAAGAACTACCTGAAGGGGTCCGGAAAAGAAGACTAGGGCTAAGGGCTTCTAGTGATTCTAGTGGCTTCAAACTTCAAGTGCAGCCATTCAGATACCCTGCCCCGTAGTAATTACGACCGAAGATCCCTTTTGCAGTACAGGCATGCTTGAAGCAAGACAGGCCGAATGAGTCGGTCCGGAAAGATGAACAGCATCACACTACCCACAGGCTCCTCAGTAGTTCCTTTTCGGGGTTACCTTATAGGATTCTCAGTATAAACCCCAAAAAGGCACTACTATGCAGCCTATGGGTGTTTGCAACCGAAAAATGCTGGCCCCGGGTTTCACTCGCGGAGTGCGGTATCTTCTCGCCGGCAGAGCGACGTGGAAGCCCTGGACTCGTTCCCCCGTGTAAAGCCCGCAGTGCTCTAGCTGCAGCTGGTTGAATCAAGGCCCGTTTAGCACCGAAATTGGACTAATTAAACCCTTAAGCCTTAAGCCCGAGACCTAGGCATCCCTCCCCGCACCCCCGACCTCAAAACC